ACCACGCTCCTCATATCTCAGACTGTCTTTTTACCCTCCTTATCTGAATATCTTTATGTCTTTCTGTGTCTATTTTACACATACACAAAAGAACAGCAATTGAACTCCTTTTTGTTTGCCGGCAGTACAGTCCAGACTTCTAAACATTTTGTAAAATTGGCAAAAGACCGAATGAAAACTATATTTATTTTTGTCTAGGTTTGACTGTAATTGAACTCTGGTGCAATCACTTTATCCTCCTCTTGAGGTCTGTTTGGTGCTTATATTTGTCTTTTTTAACAGGCTGGCTGTTAAAGGCTCGACAGGGTGGCTTTTTAGCTTGGAGGCTTGCCGCCCCATCCTCGTGTACAACAAATGTTTTCTCAGATGTTTGAAACACTTTGTGGTTCCTATCCGGGGACACTGAAGAACCTGATGACCTTCAGTGTCCAGCTGATGTAGACTAAAGCTGGTCAGGCTTGTTTTTATGATGGGAACAACTAGCATGCACACGTTCATTCTCTATCTGTAAAATTCACCTCTTAAATAGTAAAAATCAGCTGCTGTAGAAAGATTTAATAAAAATTAAACTTCTCTGCAGAAACCTCATTCTATTGGCCTCTTTTTCTTTTAATACATATTTTAATTTGTTGTGGTTGAAATTATCTAATTGTAAATAGATTTTTTTCCAAATTCAGAGTTATCAAAAACATCATCACTGAAGAGATCCCAGTTTTTTTGTATAAGAATATTTTTTGCAAATAGGTACATATTTTAAAAAGTATAAACGTTTCAAAAACATAACTGCATGTTTATATTTGTTAGTATCAACCCTAATCTGTTCTCTAAATAATAATTATTTTATTAACATTTCAGGGTAGAGTTTGACTGTTTATCCTCCGATTCCTAAACTTAAGACGAATTGGTTGGTACAGGGGACTATTTTCTCATGTTTTATTAGTTTATTTAGACAATGTTGGGATTAGATGTTACTATAAACAGAACCTTTATTTAACTCTTTGATTTATGAAATATGGCTAAATGAGTTCCACATCTGTCCAAACCAAACACGCCAAATACATTAAATAAAAATGAGCTGAACCATCTGAAGGAAGACATTACCGTTTTATTTAAGAGAATCGATTCCCCAGGTTTTCTGGAGATTTTAGAACATTTACTTTCAGCTGCTAATATTTTGTTTGGAGTTCATTCTGAGTTTTTGTAGTTACATTTCACACCACCTCCCACCACCGGAGGAAAAGATCTCAATAAATCTGTCGACCTCTATTACAGGAATCTTCTAACTTTGTATTTCTTTGTGTTTTCCTGGTGGAGGTAAGTTCACACGATGACCCTGACAAAGAAATTTGATCTGAAATTTCTTTCCTGCTTTAAAGCCGTTTTACGTCCATCCCATCACTGGAAACCATATATTGAGCTGATATATGTGAACGGGCACTTGGTTCATGTTGAGCAAACATTTTAGTCCATTCTCGTGGCAGAGATGAAAATGCTTGCCAACATATTTTAGTATAAAACATAAATCTCTTCCACTTCTTTGGCTCGAACCAACGCAGCCAAATGTGAGCCTGCTTATAACACCAAAACATTTGTGTTTATTCTGAAAACCTTCAAGGGTTTTATTGGTATTTTTGTCCGTATTGTGGTGTTTCTGAGTGAAATAATACTTATTCCATCATGCCAAGGTATTATTCTGAGGTCCGTGGTGATTCACCTTGCAATGATGTGCATCTGTTTTTTCTGTGTTCAACACCATCAAACATTCTCAGACTGTGGTTAGTAGAAATGATACCTTCATTCTAACCAAGACTGGTAAATATCTGTCTAACATCATGTGTTGAACTGTTTTCTGTTTACAGTTGAAAGTCGGTGTGTATGTGAGAAAGTCACCGCTGTTACATCAAAACATACTCTTTCAGTCTCTAAGGAAATCTAGATTTGAATCTTGATTGTAGCGGACGTGGAGGCGGTAGGGGTGAGGACAGAGTGAGGTGGAAGAGGATGACCAACTTTTGTAATCCCTGAAGAAGGAACAGCCCAATGAAGAAGTCAAAGATCACAGAATGGTCAACTTAAGAAAGTGATGGTCAAACTAACCTTTGAGCTTCTTGAGCGTTCCCAAAATTTAGCAAACTTTTCTTTTGTCTATAATCTTTACACTTGTCAAATAGTTTGTACATCAAATCGTAGGTGTTTCTGTCTTTATTCTCCCAGTCTGTCTCTCACTGCTAAGGAACGTGTGGTTTTCTCACAAATCCCCACAGACTGCAGAGTTCACGCACCCAGAGTCTCATTGGCTTTGGTCTTTTGAAAACTGGAATGGAACTCTTTTAAACTCGTCATATCTCCTTCGTAAACACTGAGAATGTGACGTCCAGAGTCTTCTGGTGGTTAAATATTTGTCAATACAACGCATAATTTACTGTTTGAGGCTTACTTTCTGATCTGCGTTTCTTTCCTGTTGTCAGCAAGCGAGACACAGGTGTGTGGTTTTCATGGTGGCCCTAATGAGCCTCTGACAACAGTTTTAATCTTTCTTTGGATCGAGGCGCTCATTACTCTTATTCTACAGTTTCTACGTGAAAATATCAACCACTGAAATGGAAGTTCTAACTTCCTGTTGCAATTTAAAGACGGTGATGCATGTTGGGAGTTTCTGGCTGTCTTCTTGTCGATGGGTTTTGAGCTCTCGTGATGAGTCTGAGGTGGTGTTTTCATGTAACAGCAGTGGCGTGTTTCTGTATGTGGATGATGACGATGTATACGAATAGTTTCGGTTGACCTCTGTGTAAATTTACTTGATTTGCTTTTTGTGTGTGTTTACGCAGGGTGGAGCCAGCTGGCCGCCATGCACTGCGTGATGCTGCCGGATCTCCTCGGCCTGGACAAGTACAGACCTCCTCTGCTGGAGATGCTGGCGAGGAGATGGCAGGACCGATGTCTGGAGGTACGCACAGCTTTGAGCCGAGTCCGCTTGTTGTTCCTCTCGCTCGTTCAAACCCGGGGAAACATCTGGTTCTTAAATTTGGCCAAAGACTGATGAACAAAAATGTGTGACATGTTTCAAAACATTTTAATTTTCCAACGTCAAATGTGAAAGGAATGTGGAAACCCAACAAAACTGCTCTTCTGAAACAAGTCTCTGCCATTATTGGGTGTTTTTATGCGTTTAGGTACGTGAAGCTGCCCAGGCTCTTCTTCTGGCTGAGTTACGAAGGATCGGCCAGTCGGGACGCAAAGATACCATCGACATGTGGGCTTCCTACCTGCCTCAGTATGTGGACACGGTCACCTCCCGTAAGTACAAAACACAATTTTCCACTTGCTTTGTGGCGACTGTTGCAAGGGAGGGGCAGTGACCAATTCTGAGCCATTACATACAGATGTAATGGCTCAGACTGAATGTGGGTATAAGTGCATGGATGCACTTTGCCAAAATGACAACCATTGTGTAAGAGGAGAGGGTTTGATTTGGTGGATGAACATATTAACTAGTTTCTGCTAATTAGCCCCAAGCAACAGAACAGCTACAAATGAACTTTTATTGTTTTTGGGTTTTTCATTTGCCAAGTTTTGACAGACTGGATCATTAATATGAACTTTTAATCCATTTTAATTGCAGTTTGAAGTTTCTCGTTGCGCTAATATTAGCATTTGCTTATTTTGATGAGTCCAGTTAGGATTTAGGGTCTTTTTGGTTGGACGGGGGAAAATGGAAAAGTTTCACGCAACCCTTTGGTTTGGTCCACGCAGCTTTTTTGAAAGTGGACCAAACTGCCTCGACAACGTCATGCCGTTACAACAGCGGCTCAATTGGGGCGGTATTTCACAAAACTAGTACTGATCATGAAGGAAAAATGCAGGAAGTCCAGTTAATCAGCTGGCCAGGACCGAAAACAGAACTATAGCAGAGAAACAAACTAAAGTATCAGTCCCATCATTCTGGTATTGACCCGACGCGATACCAACATTGGTTTGGATCCATCCATCCATTATCTTCCACTTGTTCCGAAGTCTGGTCGCATCTTGAGCAGGGAGGCCCAGACATCTCTTTCCACAGCCTCTTCCAGCTCTTCTGGGAGGACTCCAAGGCGTTCCCAGGCCAACCGAGAGACATGGTCTCTTCAGCATGTCCTGGATCTTCCCCGGGGTCTCCTCCCAGTTGGACATGCCCCAAGCACCTCCCTAGGGAGGCGTCATGGGAGCGAGCATCCTTACCAGATGCCCGAACCACCTCAACTGGCTCCTCTCAATGTGGAGGAGCATGGTTCTACTTCGAGTCTCTCCCGATTTTTGTTTTGATGATATTGATTGATACTGATTGGTCAGTCGGCACACTACAGCTTGTTGCTCTTTACGAGACAAATGCAGCTGTACCAAAGAAAACGACGGCGAACGAGAGCCTACGACGTGCTCATTGGATAGTCCGATCAGTGTCTCGAGAATCGAGCCCCACATTTTCAAAAGGACCAGAGCACCAAGTGGACTATCTGAGTCCAAGTCCTGCACCTGAACACAAGTTGTAGCTTGTCTTGGTGTAGAATGGAGGGCGGGGCCTGATCAGACCACACAAGTTGACCAACCAGAGCTGACCAGCCGTTTTAGGAGGGATTTGGTATTATTGTTGTTTTTAAAAGAAACTTGTTAAAGTGTGCAATAAATAAGGACCCACCTGATGAACAAGACTTCAAACCACGTTCGTGTTTCAGCTCTCGGTCTCCTCCTCAGAGGTTCGTTGGTTTGTTTGGGTCGAACCAGAGGAATCGGGAGTCGGTGCGACAGAGAGGCTCGCTGTGTTGTTTATCCGTCTGCCTCCGTCTCCCGGCCTGAATGTACTCCCCCGTGTCCCTCATCTGGCTATAGTTAGACCTGCTGATGGGAAGAAAGGTGAATCTCCACCTTCTTTTACTAGAAACGGCCTTCTAAAATGCTGCGCCCGTGTGTGTGTTCGGGAGTCGCGGTTGCTGAGGATGCTGGGAATTTCTCAGGGGAGCGGTTGCCATAGGAACGGGCACTGGTCAGTGTTGTGTTACCACAGCAATACCGCAGGCGGGGGAGGCGGAGGGGAGTGATGGACTGGTGACCTCGGGGGACGGGGGAGGATGGAGGAAGGGGGAAGGATGGAGATAGAGGGAGGTTAAAGGGTCACTGAATTTGATCTGTGCTGCACAGCAGAACTGGAACGGGCAGTAAGATGACTCCTGCTGGTCTTGGAAACCCTGAAATATCACGGAAAGGGGAGTTCTGAAGTCGGCCGGAGAACCTGAAGCTGTTCTGGGATCTGCGTCCGGTTTTAACAGAAGCTCAGCTTCAAATATAAAGAAGCCGGGACGATCGGGAAAATGCAAATGGAAAGACCAATGGTTTTATTTTAAGCTTGGTGCAGACAGAACACAAAAATTTATCATCTGTGTGTGCTTTGTCTGTCTGTTAGCAAAATATCTCATAAACCAGTAGATGAAATTAAGTCAGCTTCATTCAAGGCTGCCACAAATAATTGAGCGTAGCCGATATAAACATGGCTTTAAGTCTGTTTTAGATGTTGAGCTGAAACTGGATGTGGTAGTAGCTGAGAATCACCCCCAACACGTACTCTGAGCAAAAATATCCACTTTTTCAAGGGACCTGGCCATGAAGGCAGCAAGACATACAACAGAACAAAAACATAACAGTTCAACACAACCAAAACCTTTTCCAACGTTAGAGCAGCAAACATATTTAAAACGGTCACTTTGACCAAGAGGACCATTCTGTCACCCCCTTAAACTGTTCCGACTATTTATCTGTGACATTAACTCTTGGAGTCAACCTGTCTGTTAGTGAAATATCTCATGAACCATTGGACATATTTAATAAAACTTTTAGTAAATGATCAGTGGATGTACATCCACAAGTGTTAGGAGTCTATCTGATCCAAGATGCGTTAGTTTTCAGCTCTTTGAGAATCCCCTTGTTTAAGTTAAAGACTCATCGTTGGTCTTTTTTATGGATTTGGCTGAAGAAACTGGAACAAACGTGTCATCGTGACCGACTGTGGCCAGAAACAACCTAAAGACTCAAACTTGTTACGTTTGTTACACATCGCCACAACTTTGGTTCATCCCTTTGTGGCAAAGGTTAATCTTTGGTGCTATTCATAAAATGTGGACACCCCCCAATATGTTTGTTTTATTGTATGTTTGGTTTATAAGCAATAGTTTGATCTTTAGTCTGTACTTAAACTTGGGAGAGATCCAAAACCTCAGTCACACTTTATATGTAGTGGCACGTTTGCGCCACCAGAGGGCATCACTTGTGGTGAGTTAAATGTCTGTGAGGGTGCATAGAGAGAAGAAGAAAAACAAACTGAGGTATGGAAGCTGTGTGCCATGTGGTGAGGCAATAAAACCACCTGAAAATCACCGGATGTCCTCCTTCTTCTAATAAGTGCAACACCTTGAGTTTAGCCTTTCTTGTTGGCTGCCGTGGAGCGAAGAGGGCATGGGTAATTCCCTTTGTCTGTCCATCTTGGGAGCTGGATAAATAGAAAACTAAGTGAGGTACAGACTTCCATTTCCTCACGTGTCTTCATGTGAGCACAAGTTCACTAAGGTCTCTCTTGTAAATGAGTCCTCGTGGCTCAGTGGGACTAACCTGTTTGAATAACGGTTGAATGAACTATCGAAAATGGGGTTGACGCGTCAAGGCCACCATTGGCCACCCCCTGGCTCCTCCACTGCACCTGGTGGTGGATAAAACTGCTTCCTCCACTCGCCAGGATCCATCACTCTGCTCTGCCTCGGATAAACAAACAATAAAACACTGTTCTTTACAGGTGCACCTTAGGCTGACCACAATAAAAGGCCACTCTAAAATTCCAAAGATGGGCAAGGCCACCATTAGCTCCGCCCATTACACCTGGCGGAAGATAAAATTGCTCCCCCCCACATATACCTCTGCTATCTACACTTGACTATCTTGCACCTAAAACATTTAGGTTTAATTTCGTTCCCTGTTCAGTTCCTGTCCTGAAAAACACTCTTCTTTAAAACTACAAACTCACTGCTCACCCCCGGCGGCGTCGGGGACGTCTGCAGCGTACCGCTTGTTGCGTCTGAATGATTCAGAGGTTCGGCTTCAGCTCAGAGGCCTAACAAACAAAAAGTTGAAGCTACAAGAAGTGACGAAGCAGCCGAAGTCCAAAGAGAAACTTTGACGGACCTTCAGGACGTCTGGAGTGTCTCACAGTTGCACCGTCGGTCTGCTGCTAACCTCCTGGTGTCGGACACCTTTAAAGAGCCCGAATCGATTCCTGTTCACATTAAAGATGAAACCACGCATCGACACGTGGACAGACGATGGAGGAGGCGATAAGTCAGGCAGGAAAGAAATGGATAAACAAAAGGAGACGGGAGGAGGATGTCCCCGACAGCAGGCTGATGAGAGGAGGAACGGAGGTCTGACAGAAAATCCCAACCAAAGTGTCCGCTGCTGAGCGATCAAAGCAAACTGCTTCACACGTTCACAGTTTGACTCCTGAAGTACCGTGTGATCATGTGTGACTGTTCACTCGGCTCTTTGGGTTTTCACCAGCGCCACAGGTCCGGCTTTATTGTCTCCCAGAACATCTGTGCAGCAGCTTTAGGAATCGTTGCTCTCAGGATGCGAGCCGGCTCTGATTCAACGTCCTCCCCGGCTTCCAATCTGCTGCTTCGAGTCGGAAGCGGGTCACTAGACGCCGCGGTGGTGAAGGGGACGGCGCCGACAGGTGATTTTCTGTCTTCCTTTGAGGGACGGTAACGACTCGAGCTCCTTTTGTGCGGCAGCCTTTTAACACTTCCAGGAGCGCCGAAAGGTCGGCTCGGCCTCTCGCTGCGCCAGCGCCTCGGCTCCGTGACGTTTCCTCGCACCCGATGAAGAAACGCACACGGGCGGCTCCCGTCACAAACCCGGATCGTTTTCTGCCGAGGAGGACGAGAAAACTGCCGAGTGTCCGTTTGACGAGTCGACGTAGAAATGACGTCAAACTCACGAGACAAAGTTTCAAAACTCCAACAATAACAACTGAACAGGCAGAATAATAACAATAACTAACAATATTTATTAGTAAAGTGAGCGCTGAACAACTTTGCATTAGTTTAGGCTGAAACTGAATTATTAAAAGTAAAACAATCAGAGCATGGCTAAAATTAGCAAAATATGAAATAAACAAAACAGAAGCTAAATTGAATACCGGTACATAGCTATAAGCAAAAGAAATGCTAAAAGTTTTAACTGGGTAACAATTAGCTAAAAATGTATTTTAATCTAGCAAAACA